TATAAATAAGAGGGACAAAAGATGATGATGTGGCACCTCTTAGAAACTAGGATTACTATTTATCTTTTTTCTTAAATTTCTGTTGTTTTTCTTTATTAAGTAATCTATTTAAAAATTAAAAAGTCACTTTTAAAAGTTATCTTAACCGAAAAGGCACTTTTAATAATCATCTTAATTATGCCTCATCATCTTCCGTTTCATTATTCCACGACAAAGGTCCAATTTCTTTTTGTTGCAACCTTGCTCTTTCTCTTCCTTCTTCCATTTGCTAGATGAAATTCTATCTCTCTTCGTCTTCTTTCTCCAAAATTCCCCAGGTAAATCCTTTCTTTTTTGTTTTGAGATTAATTAATTCTGTTTCATGTTTCGTTGATATTTATTATGGATGGTCAATTATTAGTTAGAACCCTGAACACTTCAGTGCTAACTGCCTCTAACTTGATAATTGATATGATCTTTATAATTGATGAACTTATCTGATATAAGGCATTTTGGAGTGGTTAGCATTTAACAAATCAATTGCAGGAATTTATTGAATGTTAGGAAATCAATTGCAGGCAGAGAATGAGGCGTTTTCGGTGTTTAATTTCAGAAAGGATGAAGCAGACAGAGGCCAGAGGGTTAGTCATTGCTGAAAATATTTAGTAACAATTATAGGGCAGGGGGTTCATGGTTGGGTTTGGATCGATTTTTCCCTAAAAAGAAACCAAACCAATTAAGTCGGTTTTTTCTTGATTCAGTTTATGTCGGTTTTTCGATTTTTTCGGTTATTTTGTCGATATTTTCTTAAATATAAGATACACTACCAAATACATATTTCGGCGACCACATTTTCAACGTAACACTATCAAATCAACTGCCCTTTGAGAAATCTATTATTTACCAAGATATATTGATGATAATTGAATCAAATAGTGATGAATAATTTAAGGACTCAATTAAAAATATATTATTTTAACATGAAATAGATTCTTACACTTAACAAAAGAAAACTACTAATCAAACTAGAATGTAAAGGTAAAGACATGTACTAAAAGTGCAAACGATTAACATTTGCTATAAAATTTTTGAAACTTTGTATAAAATATATATATATAGGTGTAATAAATAAATTTAAAATAGCTACTCCTATATTTGGTTTGGTTTTGGTTTTTTTATTAAAACCAAAACCAAACCAAATTTGATCGATTTTTAAATTTCAAAACCAAAACTAAACCAAACCAAAAAGTATCGAATTTTTTTGGTCGGTTTGGTTCGGATTTTCGGATTTTTATGAACACCCCTATTATATGGTATATATAATGATATTGTTCTGACTTCTCACTAATTTGTAAATAATTTTCCATGAGGGTTCGTTTTTCGGTAAGTTCTATTATTTGGTATCAGATAATTTTCATTTTACTTTTTTTCTTTTATTTTTTTCATTTACTTCATTTTAAAATGCCTAATACAAGATTAATATTCCATGTCAATAAAAAGAGGATAAAACTCTTCGACTCACGTTAAACCGTTCTTACTCTTCATCTTTTATCTCTCTCCAGTCTTCACTCACTTTTAAACTCTCAAACTAACCCTTGAAACCCAAGTTGAGAATTAAACCAAGAGGAATAATTAATTTTACAAATACCAAATATTTTTCAAGATTTTTCCACCGTGCTTTATGGCTGAATCATTTGGGAAATGCATCTCCTTTTGGTGACGTGATTTTTTTTATAACTTTGATTTTTTTTGTTACCATTACAGAGTAAGTTTACATATTTTTGATACGTTGTCGTTCAATTTGTGAGACTTTGAGTTTTCTCTAACAATTTCTGCATAAATAATGACAGATAAGGTATTGTTTTAACTATTTGTTAAAACTTCTTGACTGCTGCTTGAGTTTTGGTTGGAATTTCGGCATATGCAAGTACTGCTCTCTTTCAAATCATATTCTAACTAATGTATTGCAATGAACCATCTGTCGATAATATCTAAGGTGTATCCAGAAGCGGATCAATGATTTGAATTCTATAGGTTCATACTCATTATATTGTTAAAGTTATGTGTTTATATATACTATTTGTTCCTATTTTAGATAATTTTTATATATAAATTTATGCTCCGGGTCGAAAGTATTGGGTTCAGATGAACCCGGCACCGCTACGCTGGATCCGCCCCCGAGTGTATCTGCTCCAATGCTTAGTGCATCTCCATTACTGTTTCTTAAGGTCATAATTTTTCTTCCATGACATTTTATCTTAGAGCTATGAGATAACACTCAGACTAAACATGTTTCAACAACTTTATCCACCATATGAGTCTTTTACAAATAGAATCAGATATATCTGCTGGATCAATTCTATAAATCCTTCTTGGAATGCAATTTACAAGTCTGGTCACGGGAACAATTTGAAAGTCTAAAAAAGCACTTTCATTCTCGAATACCTTTTGGGAAAAGTACTAACAATTCAAGATTAGTACTTTTTCCTTTAATCAATTGACCCTCGATCCATTTGAAGTTAAATCTTTCTTGATTTTCTAGAACTAATTAACTTGGTTCAAGGCATTCAAGTTTGCTAATGGACTACTAAATGTTATGTTACCAAGAAATGAACTCTCAAATAAGAATTATGCTAACTAATGAGAATATCAAAGTAGAGTTGTTTTTGCCTTTCAAGGAAAATTATAGTTGTGTTTGTATTGCAAATGTTAACTGAAATTTATTTCCTTAGCTCAATAACTATTGAAAGCATATCAAATTGTGGACGTTGATCGGTGAGGAGGATATAAGGTTTTTTGCAGGTTGAGAGTTATTGTTGTTGTTGAATTAAAGCCAAACAAGGTGCACAACTGAAATGTGAAGAGAAGGAAATAGTGGGTGGTTGAGGCAGAATTCCTCGAAGTATTCATTAGTGCAATACCTATGTTTTAAATTCTTATTTTCTTAAGTTGTTATTTGTAGTATTTTTGTTTCTTAAATGGGAGTAGTATAATATTATAAGTACTCTAATTTTTGATACTTTTTTTTATTTAATATAAAGTGTATGAGTAAGAGTATTTCTTCAAAACCTCTGTAGATGTTATTTGCTTCAAAAGATACTTGTATTAGTTTCCTGCTGCTAGAGCCAATGTCCAATGTAACCTTTCAGATAGTAAGATTGAGAAGTCGTTTCATCTGGATGAAGTTAAAGGTGTTATATTTCAATTTTTGGCTTTTACTTTCAAGTGCTTAAAGATGATATTTTAACTTATGTACACTATTATTATCATTAAAAGTTAAAAGAGAGTACGTTTAAATAACAAATGTAGTTTACCAGTTGTAATGAGTTATTTGCCTGCTATAATTATTTATGGTAGAACTACAAAGAGATGATTGATTAGTGTAAATTGATTCTTTATAAGAAATAGTAGATATATTTTAATTTTTTTTCCCTTATTGATCGCGCGAAGCGCAGGTTAATTGACTAGTGAAACGAATAAATGGAAGTCGGGAAAATATCGCATTACAGCAATTGCATTATAAGTCGCATTTAACTATTGCATTTATAAGACCCATTCTGTAGAATAAGAAAAAGAAAAATACTTAAGAAGCAGTAAAAAGGAAAAACGAAAGCGCCCACTCGAAAAGTGTTTCAAAAACCCTCCCCCCCTACCTTCTTCTCCTCCGTCACCGGCAACGACAGCTGAAACTCTGAAAGTTACGCTTCAAAAATCTATCTCACATTTACACTACAACCATAAAGTTTTCTTTCTCTCTCACCATTTGCTCAAATTTTAACCAATGGAGAGAAGAAGATTCGACGAATCCTCTGTACTTCCTCACTCTGTTACCGTCGGTTCCGGTCTCCGGTCTTCTCCTCCACCTCGTCCTCCCAATTACACTTGTCGCCGAGTTCAGGTAACGTTAAACACCTCATTTTCACTTACAAACACCTTCTTACACTTCAATTAATTTCAATAGTTGAGTTTAAATCTATGTTTTGCCCACCTCGTTGTTTTCCTAGTTTATCTATTTTGCTAATAACAGCTTAATTTGCATTATTTTTAATCCTTTTTGTGCTAAAAAGGTGCTGTAGTAATAAATGTAAGAGATTTTTATGTTAGTGTAGGGATATTGTTTGATATAAAGAATCCCTAGTTTTAGAGGACTATTACTATATTTGTTTATGGCTAATTATTGAGTATTGGAATGACATGGCTCCAATTATAGTTGAATGGATATAGCCTCGTGGTTTAGTTCAAGTGGCAAAGGTTGAGGACTTGTGAATTAGGTCACATGTTCGAGCCTTGCGCCATCCGAACTATGCTTGGTATTTAAGTTGAGAAGGGTTAGAGTGGCCCATTATCCCCGAGTTTCGAAGGCTGCTGTTGATCCTAAGTTGGCCCCAGACGGGCTTCTTGGTCTTTAGAAAATGTTAGAGTTTAATGAATATAGATGATTCCTGTAGCCGATCCGAACTTGTTTGACGTTGAAGTGTAGTTATTGTTTTTGTTGTTGCATGTCCAATTTGTAATAGTATTCATAATACTCGTTATTTTGTGATGTTACTCCACAGTGTGAGCATGTATTTTTAGTGGCATTGCTGTTTGCATATGCTTTGCTTATTAAGCAACTCCAAGGGAATATATCCGGTGTTTCGACATGCAGAATAGAATCTCTGTTTTTCACATACGAGCTTTGTCAAGGTTAAACTCTGTGGTGAGTTAGGTCTGTTGTGATGCAGTTGGGTGTTCTAGTGGAATTGGGAGGGTTTCTCGTTAAGAGTGCTCTCATCAGAACCTTAACGATGGATATTGTGTATGCTGACAGAGGACACCGCAGGGATACGGCTTTGCGAAATAAAATTGGAGATTTATTAGGAATACGCTTTTTTCCATTAAGATTTCATATTGACATGGGGTTTATCTGGTAAAGAGCCAATTGCGATACTGACAGTATCTTATAGTCATGGGGTTCTTTTCTCTCTTTACATATTAGCCTCTCTATAGCCGTGCAGGCAAGTCTTTTTGTGGCCGACCGTTTGTTGAACAAACGTCCTTGGTTAAGCCTCTTTGTGGTTTTCTGCATGTAAAGGTATTTGGGTTGATGTGGGGAAATCTGTAGCAATTCCAAAAGTCTAAATTTGTTATCTTTGAGAATGATGGTAACTTCTCATACTCTGGGTAATTTTGGATCTATTTATATGTCAGTTGTCGGCAGCCTGGTTGTACTAAAAAGAATACGACGATTCTTTTTCGAGAAGATATATTGGTACTTGGAACTTATTATTTGTTACAAATAGCTACTGTATCTTATTTCAGTTTTCTTTCCTTAATTGCATCATCACAACAACAAGATATCCAGTGTGATCCCATAGGTGGGGTATAGCGAGGCTAGAGTGTACGCAGACCTTACTCTTACCTTGTGTGAGGTAGAGAGACTATTTCTGATAGGCCCTCGGCTCAAGAAAAACGTTTTCAAAATAGGTTTATAAAATACAAGAGTAAAGATGCTATGATGAAAATACCAAGAAAAGAAAAGTATTGGTAGCAAAAATAGTAAGATAACCAAAGCAAAGGCAACAACAGTAGTAATAAAATTGAAAAATAATATAATAATAATAATACTAATAAGGAGAAGAGGGAACAAATAAGGTGCTCTAAACTAGAACCATGTCCTCCCATACAAAAGAGAGAAATCGCTTGACTACCTATTAATCTTTTATTCTAATCCTCGGCCTCCATGCTCACCTATCTAGGGTCATGTCCTCAGTAAGCTGAGATATGCCATGTCCTGTCTAATCAACCTCTCCCCAATTATTCTTCGGTCTACCTCTACTTCTCCTTAGACCTATCAGTGTTAACCTCTTGCACCTCCTCACTGGGGCATCTATGAACCTCTTCATATACCCGAAGCACCTCAGCCTCACTTCCCTCATCTTGTTCACCACGGAGGCCACTCCCACCTTGCCCCATATATCTTTGATCCCAATGTTATCTCTCCTAGTATGCTCACACATCCATTTAAGCATCCTCATTTCCTCTACTTTTATCTTCTGAACGTGTGAGTTCTTGAGTGGCCAATATTCTGCCCCATACAACATAGTTGGTCTAATAACCACTCTATAGAACTTACCTTTTAATCTTGGTGGCACCTTCTTATCACATAGGACACCGGATAAGAGCCTCCATTTCATCCACTCCACTCTAATACGATCTGTGACATCATCATCAATCTTCCCATTTTCTTAGATTATTGATCCAAGATACTTGGAGCTTTCTTTCTTGGGATGACTTGTGTATCAATCTTCACTTTCATATCCGCCTCATGTGTTGCATCACTGAATTTGCACTCCAAGTTTTAGTCCCGCTCAATCTGAAATCTTTAGACTCTAAGATCTGTCTCCAAACCTCCAATCTAGCGTTAACCCCGCCGCATGTCTCGTCAATCAATACTATGCCATCTGCAAATGTATATTGCATCAATTTGCATGCAAAATTGAATCATTGAATCACCATCGTATTTTGAATCAAGGGTTAAAACTAGGAAAACAACTAGGCACCCTGAAGGATCTTACTTGGTTAGTTGGTTATTTAATTTAGTCTCCGAGTTGGTGACTTTTCTTAGACGGAGACCCAGGAGCAGCTAAGCAAGCTAAGGTTTTGCTGTTATTCTTTCCGACTTTCCCTTTGTGTGTTGTGTATGAGGAAAAATGTTTTCTTGAAAAATAAGTAGGTTTCACACTTCTTTTCCGTGTTTAGTTAGTTAGTGGAAAATTATTTCTGAAAACTATTTATTAAATATTGATAATGATGTCGGTAAATTATGGATTGCTAATAATGTCTAAGTGTTGGTAGGAGCAAGGGTGAAGGGTGGATGACCTTCCAGTTTTTATAGAATTATTTCATAATTGGATCTCACTGCAGGGAGCATTGAAGCACTTGGCGTCAATTGATCCATTGGAATTATGTGATGAAGCCAAAGTAGAGCACTGCCGGGCAACTAGAGATCTAAGAAGTTGTGGACGACATGTACAGAGTGTGTTGAATTCATGCGGTCATGCCTCTTTATGTGAGGAATGCAGCCAGAGATGTGATGTTTGCCCTATATGTAGGATCCCTTTACCAAAAGATGCCGATAGACTTCGACTGCGCCTATATTACGAGTGCATAGAAGCAGGTCTCATCTCCAAGAGGTGTGATGATAGATTACAAGAGAAAGAGGACAGTGATAAACAACTGGTTGCTGATATCCAGCGGCTTTATACTTTGTTTGATGTGGCACTGGAAAACAATCTGGTTTCTCTAATATGCCACTGTATCCTTTCATACTATTAGTGCCAGTGGTGGACTAACATCTTTTGANACCAGTGGTGGACTAACACCTTTTGAGTTTCAAATAGTTTTCTTGCAAGGAAATTAGTTAAAAAGCTGTTAATCTTTTTCTTGTTAATTCTTTGTGAAAGGAGATAACCGTAAAAGGAATAAATTGGTGGTTGATTGTATGGTTCTTTTCTTACTTAGGAGAGTAGAACCACTTAACTTCTTAGTAGTTGGTTATATATTTTATTATGTTGTCTTAACGGTTGCAAACAGATGTGACAGATGTTTGTATGGATGAAAGTGCTGTTTCCAGTGATCCCATCATTGCTTTCTTGCTTGATGAGGTGGTGGTCAAAGATTGGTGCAAGAGGACGTTCAACAATATTATGACCGAGATTCAAGTGATATGTATCCTAATAATTAAAGCTTGTAGTGTACTTCTAATTCCTTATGAAAGGGGAAATAGCGTTCCTTGATTTTGTTATAGATAATCTATCCATGAATGCACTGAAAGAGAACTTGAGTTTATTTCTCAAGTTCTCTGTCAAGTTAGGTGGTATCTCTAACGTCATTGATGTCTTGGAATCATCATTCAAAGGTTCTCTTTCTGCAAAGCTTCATGATTTACACCACCTTCAAGAGAGCATCTTAAAGACAAAACAGGTAAGCTTTCCAGAGATTCTTGCAAGTGGACCCAAGCCACCTCTTCCTCATTTCGTATTTTTGCCTGTTTCATTTATTGGTTGCTTTTTTTTTGAAGAAACGCATGTATGAGCACAAAAAGAAATTGCACAGATTCACTATTTTTTTATGCTACTTGCACTAACTAGAGATTCTGGATGGTGTGATGAGCTAGTGATTATCACTATTCAGCTTTTGTCTGCACTGCTGCTTTCTGTATCTATTATGTTACACAAATTGAATTTTGTATCTTGCCGGTCTGACAACTTCTTGATAACACTCAATGAGATTATTACTGCTGTGCAAATCTGCAGCACATGGATATTGTGATTTGGTGTATAAGGCATGAGTTCTTGGAGAATGTGAGGTCTAGGCATAGAGATTTTGCATCTTGGCGAGCTCTGGTCAGTGGAAGGAAATCAGCTGCAATTAAACGTGCATGGCCCGATTCAATAAATCATTCTGAGGAATCCAATGGACAATATCGTTCCACTCTCTTTATTGAAGATGCTCTTTCGAATATTGAAGCAGCAGAGCAGGGAGACGTAGATGATCATGAAGAAGAGTTAGCACTTGCCTATTTGCAGAAGGATGGGGGTTCTTTATATTCGCGGTCAAAAATAGAGGGAATGGCTGGATGCTATCCATTTGAGAATTTGCGAGCTGCTGTAGACATTCTCTTTTTACGAGGAAGTTCAGACTTGGTGGTTGCAAAACAAGCAACTGTATCCTTTTGTAATTGAATACTTAATATTTTTTGTGTTTTTGTTTTCTTTTTTTGGATAGGTAGTTCATTCGTAGTGTTTTTTTATGAGAAATGTTCCCTTTCTCTTTTCCTTGATCCTTCAAAGTTCTTGTATTATATGTTTGACCGGCAATGGACAGTACCTGACGAGGAGTGGAGACATATCATTGATGATTTTGCTGCCACTTTTGGTGTGACCAGACACTCGCTA